GTCGCCTATAATTATTGAATATTTATAGAGGCTTGCTTTGGTCAGTATGTTTTGTTCTAAGTTGGAGTGTGGGTGTATGTATGTCAGAAATATGTCTATCAGGTCATTTAGGTAGGGTATCGTAAAATGTATGCAGTCGTTCAAAGAGTGGTTGAGGGAAGGAGGATTTGCTCTTCCAAGTTTGAGTTTTGGTTTTAGGAGAACTGCGGCCCCGCCCCTGGCATGATTAATTGTATTTCCATGTCTATAGATATACTGCCAATTTCTGTACGTTGGTGTCTGTCCTAGTTTTGTTTTAGTCTCTACAAACATACAGCAGTCTGTGTCGTTTTGTAAAATATTACCATTTTACTCAACTTTCCAATAGACATACTGACAAAATTTAGATTTAATTTTTAATTTTCCACAAATAGTTTTTTCAAAAACTGGAATATCGGTAAAACATTTTTTCAAATCTAAACATTTTAACTTCTATTTCCCCATTGCGTTTTTAAATATGCTCTAAAAATGTCTCTTAAAAATGTTTTCAGATATTCGATTTAAATTCGCAAAAATTAGTTTGTGATGTATAAACAACAGAAAATTAATAAAAAGCAAATTTCAAATATATTATGATTTACAATGTGTTTAAAGGTAATACAATAAAATTTTAAATAATTAAATTCAACGCTCTGGAGCATTTAGTTGTTTTGACTTAGTTTGGGTTTTTGGTTGGATTCTATATGTTAGAATATTAAAGGAACTGATGTGGACACACTGGATAAAATGAATAACAAATCGTATATTAAAGTATGTAATTTTTTATTTCAATAGATTGATAGATGAAAGGAATAATTTACCTGTGAACTGAGATTGGTTTATATGCTGATATTTTAGCTCCATTTTTTCTGATACATCAGATATATTACAGTGAACATTTTTATTCTACGCAAATTCAACGTAAATTTACCCCGCAAGAAAGGAAAATATGCATCTCACAAAAATTAAACGTAGTTCAATCTAAATACAAGAATTGCCTATGCAAGTATGAACTAATTTCTAATTATTTATAATTCTACAAAAATTACATGTATTAATCAGATGCATCCTACTTTCTCTGCTCGCTTTGCATCAAGTTGAATTGAAGATACTGATCGGATTGGAATGAGCTATTTATCAAAACAGCTTCGAATTATAGCGTTGTTTTTATCTGACGAGACACTCAACGAACACCGCCTCGTAATGGGAAAATATCTAAATTTTACGGTAAATTTCTCGCTATGGAACCTGAATAAATTACAATTAGCATCACAAATGCGAATGTTTATTGTGTCAAATTGCAGAAACCTACGCGGTCCGGTCTTATACCCGTACCATTGACACTTTCCTGCTATCTTATTAAGTGTAATAATTATGCAAAATTATTCGACCAAGTTCGGCTAAAGGCAAATCGTGTGGCAAATCTCTCCTGCTGTCTGTTGGACGCCTCTGCCCAGCAGAACTTGAATGAAATCTGGTTTTCGTCCACCCACACGATCCCACGACCCACCGCCTGGTTTCTTTGGTTTATTGGGCCTGTATTCCTCATCATCATCATCAAATTTCAAATTGGTTCCATATTAAGATTATACGAAACAGCAAACGGCTTGGATGATTTCAAAAATTCGGTTAAAATGCAAATGTCCTGCATGCTAACCCGTTTTATTTTATTTCTTATTGTTAGCAGGATCATCCAAAAAATGTCATCGATTCTCGTTATTTATGTTTCAAATTATTTTCGATCCAAACTTGTTCTGTCGGTGTTATAGCAAATTTGACAAAAGGAAACTGCTAGTTTTTTTTTCCAAACATGCAATTAACAGGGGCATTGCTATTTGGCTTCAATTGAATACAAAATAAATTACAAAATAAATATGATAAGCAAAAAATTCAATGTTGTGATTATTATTTCATTTTCTTGGAAGCTAAGTAAAATATATATTAGCCTTTAAGAGTTTTGCCCAAATTCGTACCTCGTCGTGAGATCTCGGAATTGGTAGAAGGAACGCAACCAAATAAATTAAAGCGATTTGCGTCAATTCCAGCTCAGTCAAGTAACATTTTGAAAATTTCATAATTTTAAATCCCTTCAAGAAAGTCGAAAATAATTTGAAATAAAGCTGCACATTATTACAAAACCTATAACATTGCTAAACTTGTGTCTTAACCAACTTATGAGCCATTCTTCTACAATCCGGTGATTTATTTTCCATTTCGCGATGACTTTATATTTTTTAGTGCGGTCCTGTAAAGTTTAGTTCACTATTACAAAAATCTCAACAATAAATTAATTAGAAATGTTACTGTTAAAACTCCATGGAATGTAGTTAGGAGTACAGCTAAATCCTAGTTGAAAATATTTTGGTATTCAACACTCTCTGGCTAGTGCCTCAATTATTTAGAAGAGAAGCGAAGCAAACGCACATTGTACGCACAAGAGAAGCACAAGTGAAAATGGTATTTAGGACAAAGCAAAATATAAACGATTATTCATATCGTTCAAATTCCAAATTAAACCGAATAAAAATTCGGATTAATCTGGAGTTATTCAGATTTTCAAATGCCCAAACGGCACTTTCTTCAGCAGGAAACTGCTTCAGATTGTTACTATTGCCAGAACATAATGATGATGCTGCTCAAGTTCGGCGTACCCTATATCATACTATAATTATACTTTTCCGTTAAATGGAAAGAAAAATGTTTGCATAATCCAACCTGCCACTGTAGTAAAATATTTCCTTTGAGATTTAAAAAAACAAATTAAATTACAACTTTTGGTGCGCAAAAACACATTCAATTTTATTTCTTACAGAATTTCTCTATTTCAAAAAATTTACAATAGCAAAAAGACGGTTTTTAAGGTAAAATAAACCAATAAATATATTCAAAAATTAATAAAACTGTAAATCAACGGGCCTATTAAAAGTATACAAGAAAAAATTTAAACATTTTATAATATGTATTAGGAGCCAATATATTATAGATTACAATTTAAAAGCACAAAATTTTTAATAGCTCAAAGCGTTCCTGTATAGGGAATTCGCTTAAAAGTTATTTTACTTTTTATACTGCGATCCTATTTCTATTTTAGTAATTAGTACTTTCTTTAATTGATATTCACCAGTTGCCAACGTTTTGCATCTTCACAAGTTAAGCTTTTAGCACTTAAAATCTTAGAAAGTATGCCTTGATCATTATTCATTTTTAAATGCAGAAACTTATCAAAAATATTTTCTAAGTACTGATATTCTGTTATGTTAATCTAACTAGTTGCCACACCAAACGAACTCTTTAATATTTTGTGACACGCACTGAACTTTAATTTGCTTTTGGAATATTATTTGCCAATATTTACTATGACTGTAAACAATAGTATGCAACTCAAAAACAAAACATTGAAAATTAAATTTCGCTTATTTTTTCAATTCTTGCTTTTAGGAGAGTTGTTTTTATCTCCTGTTCCAACTTGCACTTAATATC